AAATGCAAATCGAATTTTCATCCTAGAGCAATGGCAAGTGAAAAACCTCTTAACACAACGTGTTTACCATAAATAACTTAAGTGAATCCAAACTGCAAAGTAGAGATGGAGATTGAGAGAGAGTGAGAGAGAAAGTGTTGGAGCAAGAGAGAACGAGTAGTAACTGAGCTACATTCAGTAGCAAAGACATAGAGCTCAATTAAAATGGCATTAAATTCCACTTGAATTGCTTTTTCAAGCTGGTAGCCAGCACTCGTCGACTGTTGGCCATCTGCCCCTTTCCCCCCCCCCCCTGACCTCCTGGCCCACATTGCTGCTGCAGCAGATACAGCAGAGCAGCTGTCTATGCATTTGGGATTTGAGCCTGAGACAGCTGCTCAAACGCTTCGCCAGCTTTAGTCTCAGTCTTAGCCCCTATCCTCAGCCTCAGTGGCATCTCACTATTTTCTCTAGCTGCATTCCCTGCTGTGGTCTTTTCCATGTCGCTGCATAGCTTTCATCGCCTGCTACTTTTTCTTGACAGTGGGCCCCGAGCGAAAGGAATTTAAACTATTTGCAGCATAGCCATTTTGCCTTCTTGTTGATTTAATGACATCTGCAGCTTTAAGTCACCAGCAATTCAACTATATTTAATTTAAATGGTTTTTAATTTCATTTATTTGCTGAATAACTATTATGGCCATTTGTTTCAATTCAAGCGGCATTAGCAAAAGCAAACAAATGAATATGCTTTAAGGGAATTCAAATTAACAGCGTGTCGTACAAGCTTGAACATTGACTTGTTATTTATGTAGTGAAAAATGTTTGAGGGCAATTTAAGGAGTATTTTAAAGAAATATATATTTATAAAATGGGCGCCTTTGTGGTCCTCGTGGGATATTTCGTAGCTATGCAATGCTGCTTACAGTAAAATCCTTCGAGCTGGTCATTCCTGGTATATTTCCGAGCCTTAATGGCGTTACTCCCATGCTCCGGACATATCAACATTGGACTACTTCTGATGAAGTATGATTAGAGCTCTATAGGAAGAATTGATTTTTTTATGGAAAACATGTTTGTTTCGTAAGATATCCTAACCAAAATCAGCAAATGCAAATACAGGCATACTCTAGAGGGGAATGGAATGATAATATGGAAATTGGAAATCAAAATATAAACGCGACGGTCCAATACTCTTTTTACAAAGCATTTCAGATGCAGTCAGCACATGTCTCGCAACAGACTGACCCCATGTACGCTACACTACATTTATTTAATAATTATTTTCAAACTGAAATTTTTTCTGTACAATCCAAACCTTCAACTTCTTACGTATTCAATGGCAGGTGTTGCTCTGGGCAAGCGTTAATGCTGCATCGCATGTCAATACCCTGCAAATTTGATTTGGTATTCGTTTTGTTTCAACCACAGTTGTTGCTAAACAAAATGGAAAATGCATGGTCGACTGAGCTATACTCGCATGCATATAGCGCACGCCATAAAGTATGCAACAGAAGCGAGTGAGCCGAGATGCAGTCCAGAAACCGTGGCACCTGTTAAATATTCAAAATCATATGCATGAACAACAAAGCTGCGGCCCCGACTAGAAGGGAGTTGTGGTTGAAACTTCGTTGGGTTTAGATGAGGCTGTTTGACACAAACACCTCGACAACGACATTATTCATACACTCACATACACAGCAATTTGTTCGTTTGCATATTTGATTTGTGTTTGTTTGTGTGTTCAATTTATATGGCATTGAGAACTTTAGCCTATTTGACATGACCATAAATACATTTTCGTGCCAAATATATATATACAAACATATGCGTAGATGTGTGTGTGTCGCGCATACACACACACACACAAACACAAACAGACTCGTAAATATGCCAAAACGGACGTGTAATTAAATTTATGTACTATATTCAGGGGCTATCCACAAGTTTGTGCGCGTGTGTACGTTTGAGTGTGTGCTATAAAAAATTGTTGCTGCCAACTGACATACTTTAATCTAATGCGCGAAAACAATTTTCGCATTTATAGGTAAATGCGAATAAAAGAAAAAAGATTTGCAGTCAAAAACGAGCGGCAGCTTACAAAATTGTCAGAAAAGCCCAAATAAGTATGTTGTCGATAAGTGTGCTCGACTAGCAAATACCGTGTAGCTAATGCAACATGCATAGAGGCATAGCAAAGGATTCAATCCAAACTCTTGCAACCAAATACCAAGAACTTTCTGCTTTTCTGAAGCCAGGCAACTAAATTTTCCCAGAATCAAAGAAAGAAAGACTGAAAGGGTGTAATTTTCTGGAATTTCTTAGAAGATTATGTTATAATTAAAAGGGGGTATAATATACTTTGTAGAAATATGCAAAATACACTTCAACTGAATCTGAGAAAACTGTGTGGCATTAATATTATTTATAATATATAATATATATATATAAATATAATATAATATATATAATATAGCTTAAAGCTGACTTTATATATTTTAGATCACTATTAATTACCATAATTCATTTATTTATATTCTCTCCATGTATGTAAAATCACACATCTAAATCGAACAATTGGTCTAAGTAAGCCCTCAGTTGACAGATAACTACCACATTTCCTACTGCCTGTTACGAACATTTGCACAGCCTGCACATAACCTTCTTAACAATTTGAGCAGGGTATCATTACGAGATTCGTATGAAATCTGGAAATCCAACAGGCAAAATACTTATATGCATTTATGTTTTTTGTTTTGCAAATTTAATTTGTTGTCGAAATTTCAATACACACTGTCAATAACTAAATTGGGATTTATAAAGATTTGCACGTACACATATTGCATGGTGATTTGCACTGGAAATTGATTAATTCCATCGTATCGAGAGCAAACGGACGTTTGTGACAAACAAATTTAATCCGTTCTAGTTTGAAATTTTAATTTAAAATAATTGCATATTTGACTAGCTAAACGATTGTGAGAAAATCTAGATTCTTCCGCTAACAATCCAATCATCAAAATTATTTGTGGCAATGATTAAAAAGCCAGACAAATATTATGCACGGGTAATTTATTTTACTTTTAATTTCAGTTCGAAAACTGAATATTGATGGGACAAAGAATTTAAGCAAGATTCAATTTTCAGAAGGTACAAGGAACAAGGTGTCAAAGGTCAAGACCTGCCACAGCTGTGAAAGTGCCTGGAATATTATATAGAAGTTTGATCCTTAAACAAAAGTTTGTGAGCCCATTCATCAGATCGTTTCACACGCGAATCACCAGTATATCTGCCCGTCGGGTCGAACCAACAACTGTGCTGCATTTCAATTCAAGCTAAAAACATTTTAATTGAATTTTGCCAAAAATCTTGAAAGCTTGAAAACAGAATTCTGTATCAAAATGGTTGCCGAAATAGACAGCCTAATTAAAAGTCAAATATTTGAACAATTTACCCAACTAAACCAATCAGAGATGCAGCTGACACTTACTTAAGATTTCATTTAAAGAGATTTTCGTTAACAATGTAAACACATTTAAGCAGCCACAATGGTTGAATGATTGGCCAAATTAACTATTCTGCGTATGACCTTTGACATAATCCGAGTGAAAACAATCAAAATTTCCAAAATGCCAAGCCACAAATTGCTAAAGGGATGATAATTTCGCATAGAATGCTGGCCTATTATCTGGCAGCATCTATGTAAATAAGCAATTTGTTTAGATGCCGATGCGGTTAAACCAACTGCAAATGTTAAGAGTCGCAGTAGATGGATACACACGGCGACTCCCGGCGGTCCAGTGCAGGCGGGCTGTCTTACCTTGATTATATTGATGCATTTCTACATCATTAAGTCGGCCGCCTAAGCGCCATTAGCAGCCATGTCAATATGTGTGTGTGTTGTGGTGTGTGTGTGTCTGTTTGTGTGTGTTGTGCTGCGGTGTGTGTGTGCGTGCCAGCTTGCCACAAGCTAAAGACATTTGGCCCCAAGCAGCGAAAGTCGTCAGAGCAGCGTGTGTATAGGTGTAGGTGTGTATGTGTAGGTATTAAGTTGTGTGTGCGTATATTTGAGCATCACTTCCGGTTGAGTGCACCAACACATAGACAAACAAGTGGAGCCACTGGTGTCGAAGTAAACTCATTTGCCCGCCTAATGGCAAATCAATGCGCCGTCCAGTGTCCCACTGTGTCCCATTGTGTCCAAGCTGTGCTCCACCAGCAGGCATCATCAGCACCACGTTTGGTTCCAGCTGGAGATGGTCACGTGTCTTGACATTCAGTTCGTGCGGGTCCTGCCTCAAAAACACGAAAAATAAAGACGGCTCAGATCTGAATATTGCAGCTAATCTTGTGTCCATCTTTTAACCAAAATCCAATAAAATGTTTCCACCAAATATTCAAGAATCTCTCCTGAATCCAAAACAAAAAAAAACAAAGTGTAGTCTCTTTTTGGACTTTCAGTCAACTGAACGTTCCGTGCTCGTGCCAGGCCGCGCCTCGAAAATGATTCCCGCGGTAATCTTTGCTCCCAGAAATGTGTTGATGACACTTGAATGAGTTTTGGCCTTTTGTCAGTGTAGTTCTTTCGGCGGCGCCTAACGCTAAATTGAGCGTATTATTTATACATAAGAAATCAACTGACCATAAGCTTTTATATAGTATTTGCTAATCGGCAGCAGCGCGGCGGTTTATGAACTCCCAGCGAGTGCGTCATGAATCTGGTTTGGATCTAAGGATAGGGCATTTGGGCGGCTAGTTAAACTCAACACTAATTGTAACCCTTGGCACAGCGTCACATTAAATTCCAATTACACGACAAAGTTGTTGCGTTAATGGCCAACTTAATGCATTTGCAGCGGGTGGGCGGGGGTCGTGAAGGGGCAGGTGTATGCTTTAATGTCTTATGGGCGTGGCCAAGCGACACATTACGCACACCTTTTATATGTACATGAGAATATATATGTGTTTATATACATATATATACTTTGTTTATGTATTTATCGTATAAAGTGCGAATTTGTACATGAATTTGTGATTACACCCAGCCGAGTGTGTGTGTGTGTGTGTGTGTGTGTGTGAGTGGATGAGTAACTTAATCGTTTAAGTCAAGTGAGCTTTAAGCGATGTCGCTGCTTGTTGATGTTGTTGATATAAATAATATACATTAGGCATTTGCTGGTTACACTTAGTAACTAAACTTAAGACTAGCTTACAACTAGCAGCCACATTTGGATTGGTGTGTCAATTGAATGCGGCCCGTTGTCAGGGTTTCTGTGTCAAGGCATTTGTCCTTGTCATGGCAGGCCGCTGTGCTCGGATATTCTATCAGTGGGTGGTCTTTCATTTGGATTTGATTGCTTAGCCGTTGCGAATTCGAGTAAACTAAAGTAAAACCTGTTTAATTAACATCACAATGGTTTCAGTTTTTGTTCCCTTGCTGGCTGAGCGGGCTTCAGTAGCAGCACCAGCGCGATCTTTCCACCTGGCCCAGCGCAATGTGCTCGATGGCCCACGAGGGCGTCTCCAGGCGTCCCTCGCCCGTCGGCTTAACATCCTGCCCGTCGACTGGTATGCCTATATGCACATAGGGCAGCCGAAATGCAGAGCTATCCAGATTGCGTGCCGCCAAAGCAGTGGCTGTATAGCTGAAGGCAGTGTTGCTGTTGGTGTAGAACAGGGAGTCCGATGACTCAAAGGAGCGCAACGAATGGCTCTTGCCCTCATCGGCTAGCCGCACCAGGCCCAGTGCCGTCGAGAGGAATACCTGCTCCAGTCCCTGGTCCGTTTCGGTGGAGGTCTCAAAATAGGTGGCGCCAATAGAGATGGCAAACAAATGGGCCTCATCGCGAGAAACGGCACGCTGCGACTGCATATCCATTTTATTGCCGACCAGCGTCAGTATCATCGGATCCTGGACATTGCGATGCAGCTCCTGTATCCATGACTTGATTTCGGTGAATGTTTTATATTGTGTAAGATCGAAAACCAATATGGCAGCATTCGCATTGCGATAATACATGGGTGCAACGGCCCTGAAACGTTCCTGGCCGGCGGTATCCCAGATCTGCAAGTAGTGACATTGTAGACATGGTAGAGGATTGATGAGCACTCAATCAACTGGACAGCAGCAGAGCTCAATTGGACCATACACTCAGCATTCAGCACTCCACATTCCACACTCCACACACAACACGACGGGAACTTTAATTGAGCCATTCTGCGTTTATTCTGCAATTTCGGTCTTTATGCTTTTGCTTTCCCACAATAATAACAATCATATTGTGCTGCTCATCTTTATGGTGCACAATTCAAATGTCCATAAAAAGTTTTTTGGGGCAACGACATGTCCAGAGCGCAGCAAGACAAAGGGCTAAGAATCTGTGCACGAAGCGCCAGCGAAAACTATTTGCCATAATGTGCTCCCGTATAGTGTGGTCCTCATACATATATACACACTTGGTATATAAAAACGAAATCGAAATCGCGCCAGAGAATATACGAGCTGCCATTGTGAAGGGGCCGGCAGGCAACCCTAGCTTATGGGGGAAGCGACTTTAGCTTATCAATAAACTATAAAAAATAAAAAAAAACAAAAAAAAACGAAAAGCTCACGCGTCCATCCAAAAAGTAAAGGCAAATAAACACAAAAGTGCAGTGGACGCAGAAATTGTAAAAAATAATCAAATAAAACAAGTGAAAGTGAACTAGTTGGGTATGCCCGACTAGGAATTGCCCTGATCCCCCAAGCATTCGAACATTCACTCAAATGTGCTTCTTCTTCACTCAGCCCCTCACTTGCGGAAATGTGTTCTCAAAGAACTTTGGAGTTTTTCGTACGATCGTATTTTCAAATTTTCAGGTATTAATTATAGCATCCAAAGGTGTGCATATCTAAAGCCCAAGGCTTTAAAATAAGGATGCCTGGTATAGGTTTTCATAAAGTCTAATAGTCTATGTTTAGTATGTATGTTTAGTAATCTAATCCTATAATCAAGGTCCTATACATGTTCCAATTACCATCCCAAAACCCAATTTAAAAATCCGAGATATTTTTGACTTTAAACGAACTTAATTTAAAGCTGCCCAACTATTGCTACGTTCCCAACTTCCAGTCTATAACATTTATGGTCTCTGAGGAAAGCGCATAATGACTCGCCTATTGATGCTGACTAACAATATATACTTTCTACTTTATATATATATATATATATATATATATACAATAATGTCTTTAAACCCTTTTTACTGCCCATTTTCAGTGGTTATAGGGCATGGTAAAATTAAAAAAAAAAAAAAAAATGTCCAAGTTATAACAAAATGAAATCTAAACCAACTCCCACTGGCAGCAGAAGCTCAGATTAGCCGCAGTCCATGGATTACTAGGCAACAGGGCGTGGCTTACAAATGGAACGGCAGTTGTTGTACTCACTTGTAATTTGATTTTAACATCATCCAGAATGATGTTGCAGGTAAAGAAAGAGACGGCTATTGTCGGCTCCTCGGTGCGATGCAGCGCGTTCTTAATGTACTTGATGACTAAACGAGATTTTCCGACGCCTGAAAATAAAAACGATTTTCCGATTGCATTAGCGTACTACAGAAACAAGAGCTTCAAACAAACGGTTTATATATCAGAGACGAATGCAAACACAGAGAATGCGATTGCTGAAGGACTTGCTAACGGTAATAAGGCGAAAGGACTAAGAAAAAAGAAAACCGTTTTTCATTTTCCAACAAGTATAAATAGTTCAATTTGCATTAGTTTCTACTTGTGGGGCTTACATTTTACTTTATTATTAGCGAGCAGGTATAGCCCGGCCTTGCCCGTGGCACATGTTCTTTAAAAGCTTTGAAAACGATTTGAAAACAAACGATTTCCACCAATTTACCACTTTTGCGGGTGGAATTTCCCAAATCGCTTAAATTGAAATAAGTTTGTAGCAAATCGAACATAACTTAAAACTTAACCCAAAAAATCTTTGAATCGCATTTCTACCGAAGAAGTTTGGATTCTGCGAAAAGTGAAAAACTCGTCTCAAATGAATATTCAAATAGATCCTTGGAAATGAATTTGAGGGCGAAAGGTCTTCCACTAAATCTTTGACCCGCATTTCCACCAAGCAGGAATAGATTTTCCAATAAGTGCGACGACTTTTTCACACTTGCGGGTGGAATTCATCACATAATGTAACTACAGTGAAAATTTCAGCTTCCTGTTTGGGCTGTACTGTCAGTCAGTCAGTCAGTCAGACAGGACAAACAGTTTTATATATAGAGATTATTATATCATCTAATTTCCCGATACATAAATGTAGTTCAACACATCTCGTCATACATATATGTACATACATACCAAACGAAAATTCTAAAGTTCATACTAAAACAAGTAAGAGGTTCTAGTCGGGAGCCCCCGACTAGGGGATACCCTGAACCCTCTTCTCCAATATCAAATGCATACATATATTCTATTTAAGAGGCTATATGTCAAGTTTGGTAACTCTAGCTCTTATTATTTACCAAAATTGCCCAAAAAACAGGATATCGATATCGATTTTTATCGATTGCTTGGAAACGGAGTAAGTTATCGATTATCGGAAACAAACTCGATCTGCGCGGGAACTAGGAGCATCTACACCTGTCTCTAGCTCTTATAGGTTCTGAGATCCTTGCGTTGATACATACGGACGGACAGACAGACGGACATGGCTAGATCGACTCAGCTATTTATGCTGATCAAGTATATATACTTTATGGGGTCGGAGGTGCTTCCTTCTGCCTGTTACATACATTTGGCTTTCACACAAATACAATATACCCTTATACCCATTTTTAATGGGTTCAGGGTATAAAAAGCCAAACTTCGTGAAAATCGGATGAGATTTGACCGAGTTATGGGGGTGAGAAATTTTGACTCATGTCTATATACGAATCTTGGGGTAAGATTTGGACATGAATTTCGACTTAAAAATCGGTGTCGAGATTTGAATGCCACATTAATCTAGAGGGAAAACCATGAAGAAAAAGCCAAACTTTGTGAAAATCGGATGAGATTTGACCGAGTTATGGGGGTGAGAAATTTTGACTCATGTCTATATACGAATCTTGGGGTAAGATTTGGACATGAATTTCAACTAAAAAATCGGTATCGAGATTTGAATGCCATATTGATATAGAGGGAAAACTATGAAGAAAAAGCCAAACTTTGTGAAAATCGGATGAGATTTGACCGAGTTATGGGGGTGGTAATTTTTGACCCATGTCTATATACGAATCTTGGGTAAGATTTGAACATGAATTTCCACCAAAAAATCGGTGTCGAGATTTGAATGCCACATTAATCTAGAGGGAAAACCATGAAGAAAAAGCCAAACTTCGTGAAAATCGGATGAGATTTGACCGAGTTATGGGGGTGGTAAATGTTGACCAATGTCTATATACCAATCTTGGGGTAAGATTTGGACATGAATTTCGACCAAAAAATCGGTGTCGAGATTTGAATGCCACATTAATCTAGAGGGAAAACCATGAAGAAAAAGCCAAACTTCGTGAAAATCGGATGAGATTTGACCGAGTTATGGGGGTGGTAAATGTTGACCCATGTCTATATACCAATCTTGGGGTAAGATTTGGACATGAATTTCGACCAAAAAATCGGTGTCGAGATTTAAATGCCACATTAATCTAGAGGGAAAACCATGCAGAAAAAGCCAAACTTTGTGAAACTCGGATGAGATTTGGCCGAGATATGGGGGTGGTAAATTTTGACTCATGTCTATATACGAATCTTGGGGTAAGATTTGGACATGAATTTCGACTCAAAAATCGGTGTCGAGATTTGAATGCCAGATTAATCTAGAGGGAAAACCATGAAGAAAACGCCAAACTTCGTGAAAATCGGATGAGATTTGACCGAGTTATGGGGGTGGTAAATTTTGACTCATGTCTATATACGAATCTTGGGGTAAGATTTGGACATGAATTTCGACTAAAAAATCGGTGTCGAGATTTGAATGCCATATTAATCTAGAGGAAAAACCATGAAGAAAAAGCCAAACTTTAAGAAAATCGGATGAGATTTGACCGAGTTATGGGGGTGGTAATTTTTGACTCATGTCTATATACGAATCTTGGGGTAAGATTTGGACATGAATTTCGACTGAAAAATCGGTGTCGAGATTTGAATGCCAGATTAATCTAGAGGGAAAACCATGAAGAAAACGCCAAACTTCGTGAAAATCTGATGAGATTTGACCGAGTTATGGGGGTGGTAAATTTTGACTCATGTCTATATACGAATCTTGGGGTAAGATTTGAACATGAATTTCGAATAAAAAATCGGATGAGATTTGACCGAGTTATGGGGGTGAGAAATTTTGACTCATGTCTATATACGAATCTTGGGGTAAGATTTGGACATGAATTTCAACTAAAAAATCGGTATCGAGATTTGAATGCCATATTGATATAGAGGGAAAACTATGAAGAAAAAGCCAAACTTTGTGAAAATCGGATGAGATTTGACCGAGTTATGGGGGTGGTAATTTTTGACCCATGTCTATATACGAATCTTGGGTAAGATTTGAACATGAATTTCCACCAAAAAATCGGTGTCGAGATTTGAATGCCACATTAATCTAGAGGGAAAACCATGAAGAAAAAGCCAAACTTCGTGAAAATCGGATGAGATTTGACCGAGTTATGGGGGTGGTAAATGTTGACCAATGTCTATATACCAATCTTGGGGTAAGATTTGGACATGAATTTCGACCAAAAAATCGGTGTCGAGATTTGAATGCCACATTAGTCTAGAGGGAAAACCATGAAGAAAAAGCCAAACTTCGTGAAAATCGGATGAGATTTGACCGAGTTATGGGGGTGGTAAATGTTGACCCATGTCTATATACCAATCTTGGGGTAAGATTTGGACATGAATTTCGACCAAAAAATCGGTGTCGAGATTTAAATGCCACATTAATCTAGAGGGAAAACCATGCAGAAAAAGCCAAACTTTGTGAAACTCGGATGAGATTTGGCCGAGATATGGGGGTGGTAAATTTTGACTCATGTCTATATACGAATCTTGGGGTAAGATTTGGACATGAATTTCGACTCAAAAATCGGTGTCGAGATTTGAATGCCAGATTAATCTAGAGGGAAAACCATGAAGAAAACGCCAAACTTCGTGAAAATCGGATGAGATTTGACCGAGTTATGGGGGTGGTAAATTTTGACTCATGTCTATATACGAATCTTGGGGTAAGATTTGGACATGAATTTCGACTAAAAAATCGGTGTCGAGATTTGAATGCCATATTAATCTAGAGGAAAAACCATGAAGAAAAAGCCAAACTTTAAGAAAATCGGATGAGATTTGACCGAGTTATGGGGGTGGTAATTTTTGACTCATGTCTATATACGAATCTTGGGGTAAGATTTGAACATGAATTTCGAATAAAAAATCGGATGAGATTTGACCGAGTTATGGGGGTGGTAAATTTTGACTCATGTCTATATACGAATCTTGGGGTAAGATTTGGACATGAATTTCGACCAAAAAATCGGTGTCGAGATTTAAATGCCACATTAATCTAGAGGGAAAACCATGAAGAAAAAGCCAAACTTTGTGAAAATCGGATGAGATTTGACCTAGTTATGGGGGTGGTAATTTTTGACCCATGTCTATATACGAATCTTGGGGTAAGATTTGGACATAAATTTCGACTAAAAAATCGGTGTTCAGATTTGAATGCCACATTAATCTAGAGGGAAAACCATGAAGAAAAAGCCAAACTTCGTGAAAATCGGATGAGATTTGACCGAGTTATGGGGGTGGTAAATTTTGACTCATGTCTATATACGAATCTTGGGGTAAGATTTGGACATGAATTTCGACTAAAAATCGGTGTCGAGATTTGAATGCCATATTAATCTAGAGGGAAAACCATGAAGAAAAAGCCAAACTTCGTCAAAATCGGATGAGATTTGACCGAGTTATGGGGGTGGTAAATGTTGACCCATGTCTATATACCAATCTTGGGGTAAGATTTGGACATGAATTTCGACCAAAAAATCGGTGTCGAGATTTGAATGCCACATTAATCTAGACGGAAAACCATGAAGAAAACGCCACACTTTGTGAAAATCGGATGAGATTTGGGCGAGATATGGGGGTGGTAAATTTTGACTCATGTCTATATACGAATCTTGGGGTAAGATTTGGACATGAATTTCGACCAAAAAATCGGTGTCGAGATTTGAATGCCACATTAATCTAGAGGGAAAACCATGAAGAAAAAGCCAAACTTTGTGAAAATCGGATGAGATTTGGCCGAGATATGGGGGTGGTAAATGTTGACCAATGTCTATATACCAATCTTGGGGTAAGATTTGGACTCATGTCTTTGTACGAATCTTGGGGTAAGATTTGGACATGAATTTCGACTAAAAAATCGGTGTCGAGATTTGAATGCCATATTAATCTAGAGGGAAAACCATGAAGAAAAAGTCAAACTTTGTGAAAATCGGATGAGATTTGACCGAGTTATGGGGGTGGTAAA